AAAATCAGGGACACCGGACACCACATACAGTGTTAAATCGCACTAAATAATTTGCATTTAGGCTAAAAATATAATTAATACAGGACAGACGCGCTGGGTACAGTTTTAATTTGGCAAACTGCGATACACCACCGAAATGTTTCGTTATCTTTGTAGTATATACGTCTATATATTCTTTGCGTATATATTGAACTCAGATACAAGTCATTAATTAAGGCAATTTTCCATTGCAGTCGCTTTGCCGCGCGATCGGAGCGAACATTACTCGACTTTCTCTGTAGTTGTCTATAACCTGTGCATTTTTTGTCCGCCTGACTGCTCGCGGACACGCCATGAAAGTAGAACTGCATTTAACTTTCTTGGCGTGTCCGCGCGACTGATTTTTCACGTGATTAAAATTGGTCTCTCCAGCAATGGAAAATGGCCTTTAGTTAGGTCACTTTTAAGTCACTGATTTATTAACTGCAAAGACATTCATGTTGATCTGGGAATTATGGGAAATACGTCTCCTCTACGAGGCATTATTTTATTGGACAGAATTTATAATGCGAGGCGAAGAATATTCTTGCCTTCCAGCCTTCGACGTGCTAATGGCCAATTGGTAACATAACACCAGCCGATCTGTGTAATAACAACAGGATAAACGCTTATTTTAACACATAGTATTTTCGGAAAAACAAACGCGCTCTTCTTTAGTGGTATACTTGTACTTAAAGTTGCATCTTTCCATAGTCCCAGCGACAATGCTTTGTGTAGTGTCCTGTTTAGATTTATAATAATTGCCACTTGAGGTTATATTCATCACGGAAGTAACTGCGTGTTTGAAAGTAAATGAAATATAAATGCATGTATAACGAGAGAAAACGTACCTTGAAGTAACAGGAAAATCACGGTTAGTATTACAAAACAATTTGAAAACATCTCCTTTAGTTGAGGAAGATCTTCAATGCAACTACGCGTTATGAAAGCGGAGGAAGATATGAACGCAACGAGGCGAAGCAAAATAACAAAAATATTCATTGAAACTCAGCAGGAAGTCTGTGGTGCTTCTGAAATTCCATGAATAACAAATGTCAAACATTCCTAAATCACGAAGTGCAATGTAAACACGGCTATAGATTATGTTTTATGCATTTCAGATATAACGATGACAGTTTAACAACTACTTCGGATTGTTAATTTTCTATTCAAGTCGAAAACGTTCAGTTTGGTTATTTAACAAATTTATGCTCAGCTATTTTCTATATTGATCGAGTTGTTTTCTATATTGAGCTTTTCCACAATTGATAAACCAAATGTTAAACAAAATTAAACATCTTAAACATTGAAAACGTATCAGTCCAAACAATTGACTGTATGTCTAGATGTTAAAAAACATTGAAACTCTTGATGAAAAGTGAACGCATAAAAACGCACGACTAGTACTAAATGATATTGAACATAGGAGGATGTAGAATTACGATTAAATGATAATGAACATAGGAGGATGTAGAATTACGTCAAACTGAACAAAGATTTGAAGGGGGTAACTATACCTAGGAGCTTGTTCACTCTGTATCTACCAAAATATAGGCCAAAGCAGGGATCAGATCATCTAGTTTGCAATGTAAACATTACTATAGATAAAAGTTAATGTATTTCAGACATAATGACAACAGTCTAAGTCATTAATACAGATTGATACTTTTCTATTCAAGTTAAAAACGTTCAGTTTGGTTATTTAACAAAGTATACCGACTTCTTTTTCTATACTGAGCTTATTCACAAGATAAACCAAACGGGCTTCGTAGAAGAGCCCTCTTAAAATTCAGTTTCCTTCGGAATCACGTAGTCCGTGTGTACTTCATTTAGATGGGCATAGAAGTGATCATCATTTTTGTCCTTTCCAGTACTTTTGAGAGCTGTATACGTCGACTCTTCATTTTCCACTTGTTCATAATTCGCATCATTGTCAGGATTTTCATCAATTTCTTCTGAATTATTTCTGTCCTCGTTCTTGTTTTCCGGGTTTGGCTTTGATGATTTGAGTCGACGTATTTGGTAGATAAAATAAGCAATAATCACGAATGAAATGACCAGTAGAACTGCTAACACTATAATTCCAATTACAAGATATTTTTCGGCACCATTATCATTTTCATCATCGTTGCCTGAAATTTGGAAGGATTAAGAATATTACGATGTATTAAACAATGTTTCACTTGTTTAGCCTACATCATAACTTATTTTCTTGTGGGCTTGGATATATTTATTTTAACCCAAGCAGCGACAGAAGCAAAGATTACCTGTATCTTCTTGTTTTTGGACCAAAATGGTATGATTTGTGCTTTGAAATCGATCTTGGATATGACAAATATATTTCCCAAAACTTGTTTGGTTTTTCACTGTTACGACAAGTAAAGAACTGCGATGGGGCTTTTCAGTTTCCGTGAAACTTTGCAGTAGCTTCTGGCCTTTTTTCCAACTGAAAGTAATTGGAGGTTCACCTTGAGCAGAACACAGTAGGTTGACAAGATCACCTTCCTCAAATTTTGCCTTTATGTCACCACTGGATATCTTGGTCAATACACGAGGGCCACCTGGGAAACAGAAATATACAAAATCATTTAAATGTTGTAATAATATACTGTCTCCATAAATTCACTTTTCAATTCCTGTAAATGTATTATATTTCGTTAGGATAACAGCAGATATCTAGTGCAAGTATCAGTAGAATTTTCTTAAATGACGTACCTGAATATTTGCTCGTTTTTGAAGCAGGACTCCAATCTGTGGAGTAATAGTCACCCTGTAGTAAAGAAGGTGATAGTATATTTTTTGTCTGTCATGTTAAAAATACGTGTTTAACAATGAGACAGTTCGCTCAAACATTTCTTACAAATCCTTAAAACGTAAACTTCCTACTGTGATCAGAGAAATGTTGATAGTGTAAGCCAGGTTTTAGACAAGGAAATATTTACTTCTAAAGTGTGATAACTAACAAATACCATACCTTGTTATTAATAAAAATCCTTTGAAAAATACTGTAAATAGTGCCAGGCTCCAACGGACCATTATAATAATCACTCGAGGTTGATCTGCGTCTTCGTGATGTTGGATTATTTGTATTTCTGCCATCACCAAGTGTAAACATGTTTTCATCCTTTGATGTTACTACTGCAGCGATATAAGGTTTCGGGTCGCTTGATTTTTTTGCCTCAGCGTACGTCACTAACTCGTTGTTTTCATAACTTGCTGAAGATCGACCTTGCTGTCCGTCTTTTAATTTCAAAGCCACGACGTAAAAGTGCCTACAAATAAATGTCTATGT